TGTGTATTTTTGTTGTTTAGGTCTGAGAAGCAAGAAAACCATACGTATGTTGTTGTTGTTTGGTCTAGGATGCAAGGACATATGGTATATGTTTTGATATTTTGTTTTTTTTTGGTTTTGGAAGCTCAAGTGCTCCCCGCGGCCTGCCCCCCAGCACCTCCTCCTTCTCCCCCTTCCTCTTTCCCCCTCCTTCTCCTCCTTTCCTTTCCTCCTCTTTGTTGCAAAGCAAGAAAACCAAGACTACAGTGTTTGGCGTCCCCGGAGCAAGGAGACGCTGTGTATTATTGGTGTTTCTGTTTTTGTCTAGGATGCAAGGAAACACTGTGTATCTTGTTTTGTTTTGGAGCTCTGGAAGAGAAGGAGAAGGAGGAGTTGCTGGGGGGAGGCAGCGGGTAGCACTTGAGCTTCCCAAACCGAAGAAACAAATAACCAAACATACACAGTGTTTCCTTGCATCCTAAGCCAACAAAAACACACAGCGTTTCCTTGCATCACGGGCGCCAAACACTGTGTATTATTGGTTTTCTTGCTTTGCAACAAGGAAGAGGAAAGTAAAGGAGGAGAAAGAGGGGGAAGAGGAAGGGGGAGAATGAGAAGCGGCTGGGGGGGAGGCCGTGGGGAGCATTTGATCTTCCCCCCAACCAAAAAAAACACACAACGTTTCCTTGCATCCTGTAACAAAAAACAGAAACACTAAAAATACACAGCGCTTCCTTGCTCCGAGGTCGCCAAACACTCTGTATTCTTGGTTTTCTTGCTTTGCAGCAAAGAGGAGGAAAGGAGGAAAAGGAGGGGGAAAGAGGAAGGGGGAGAAGGAGAAGTTGCTGGGGGGGGAGGCCGCGGGGAGCATTTGAGCTTCCAAAAAGCAAGACAAAAAACAAACTAACAAAAAATACACCGTGCTTCCGTGCATCCTGGACAAAAAAACAGAAACACCAAACATACACAGCGTTTCCTTGCTCCGATGGCGCCAAACACTGTGTAGTCTTGATTTCTTGCTTTGCGACAAGGAGGAGGAAAGGAAAGGAGGAGAAGGAGGGGGAAAGAGGAAAAGGGAGAAGGAGAAATGGCTGGGGGGGAGGCCGCGGGGAGCACTTGAGCTTCCAAAACCAAAAAACAACAAACTAACCAAACATACACAGTGCTTCCCAGCATCCTAGACCCAAAAACAAAAAGACACAAGGTGTCCGTGCACCAAGGGATAGATGAATAAGAAGATGATGAACGTGAATTCGGTTCAAGATAAAAATGCATGATCTTTCGGGGCAACCACCTATACATATATATATAGACACATCCACATCCATACATGTAGATACATACATCTACATACGTGTATGTCGCCATGCGCAGATGTGAATACGCATGCATACATATATACATGCATACATACATGCGTGCATACATACATGCGTGCATACGTAGGTACATATATACACGCATACACACATGCATACATGCATACATACATACATATCGACATACAAACAAACAACCATACATACCTATACACACATGCACTCATACATGCATGCATGCATACACACATGCATAAATACATGTACATGCGAACATAAAAAACGTGACTACGCACACACCTACATACATGCATGCGTGCATACATACACGCCAACATACATACATACACACAAACATACACATATAAAGACATGCATGCAGATATGCACACACACACTGGCATGAGTACCTACATCCCTACATGCATGCGTACACACATACATGCATACAACCAGACATACAGCATCCATGAATCCATGCATGTACACATACGTACTCACATACGCAAATACACACATTCATACATACACACAGACACACATGACACACATACATTCATCGATGCAAATACACATGTACACAATCATACATACATACACATTTACATACATAAACTTATACGTACACACATGCATCCGTACATACATGCATACAGACAGATACATAGTTATTTACAGCGTGTACACATATGCATGCAACCATACATACATGCATACATAATGTGCATACATACACACTCGTTTATCTATACATATACATATGCAAACCCTGATCCACAGACATGTACCGATCCATATACATACACATATGTACACCCACATACATATACATATATACATACAGTAAACATATGTGTGCATATAAACATACGTATATACATATATTTACACATGTACACGTCTGTACACACAAACATATATACAAGAACCACGCGTTTTCGTGCGCGCTCAAGTTCTAGCAGGCCCTCGGCCTTGACGAGTTCACTGCTCCACTGAAATCGTAGACCACATATGGTTTGAACGGGAAGTGAAGAAGTGTCCATAACGCTGAACGCATTATGGGCAGTGAGAAGTCCACACATGTCAATCCGAATTCTGGAAGGCATTCGGAACAGATCTTTGCGTATGGGGGGGCGGAGGCCTGATGAATCGGGATCCCAGAAAGCATTATGGGAACACGGTGTTGGGGGGCGTCTTGGGAG